TAATTGCAGCTTCTCTCCAGGGGTCAGCACCCCCTCCCCATGAATATGATAAGGTGCTCCAAGCGTCACTTCACCTGCAAATGGCGTTTTTCCCTGAAGACTCACTTCCCACAGGCTACAAGCTGCTATTGAATTTCTGAAGTAATATTTTAATAACTTAATTTAAGATTTAACAGCTTTCTTTCCTGTGCTTTGTTGTATAATTAATCCATGTGATGGGAACTCATTAGACTTGGGGATCTGAGATGCATCTGGACATGCAAGGGCTGTAAACAGCCCTAAAACCTGTGTTAGGGCATATCAAGGTGGGCATATGCAGAGCTGCGTGTAGAAAAAATAAATTATTTTATCCTTAGGGGTAATCAGAAACTACTTTTTGATAGTTTGATGTGTCTTTCAATCATATCTGTAGTTTGTTATAATAGTAGTAAAACCAACTTTTTGTCCACTGACATTTAAGGTGGAATCATTGACTTCTTTGGCTGAGAACATCTTTCCCAACACCTCCTGAAAACATCTTGCATGCCTGTGTGCATGCCCATGAGCTGGGGGCTCTTCTGCCTCCTGAAGACATACTGCAAGCAGATACTAGAGAGACCCTTTGAGCCTGACATTGAACAGTCCATCATGGGATCTTGTCTCTTTTGCTTGATTACTGCCGTGCTGCTGTGTTTACTACATGGAAGAGATGAGACCTGTCACTGCCACCCTGAATTGCTGAAACAACTGAAGCCTTGGTATCCCTCTTCTCCAGAGCTGCTTCTCTGTAACTGCAAGACTTCCATGAGGTTTCTTGTTTCCTGCTGGTAGTGCTATTCTGCTTTGATATGACCCAGAGAATGCAAATGGGTCTGGCCCTCAGCACAGGTAAGAACATTTGCTCAAGTTTAATGTCCAAGACCATGCTCTGGATTAGGCAGAGCAGAGGTTTGAAATCACTTTCCAGCAAAACATGGCCAGCGAGCTGCTCATTTACCTCCAAGCATGGGTGTGGGTATCTGATTCCTTCACGTTGCAGTGGGAGCTGTGGAACCAGCTCCAGGGGACAGGCTTTAGCAGAGAACACCTTGGCTAAGTGTGCACACCAGTCTGCCCCACTGCTGAGTATTTCCCTCCTCTGCACATCCCTTTCAAGGGTGCACTGCTTTCTTGAGAAGCTGCGGAACAAAAGCATAGAAAACACAAAGACAAAACAACAGCATGAAAGGAGTAACACCTTTGGGCATCAGGGATGTGCTCCTCACTGTGTGCAATGCTGAGCTTCCCAGCAGAGCACCTTTTCCCCACTGGACAAGAGCAACAGCTCTAATGAAAGGAGAGTGCTGCCAGCTGCCTTCTTTGGGAGCTGGATGAGTTGTGTTCAGAGACCTGTTTTCTACAAAGAAGATTTACATAAGTGCTGCACACATTTCCCTGTGTGCTGTCAGCGTGCCTCGATCCTTTTTTCTCTCGAGGCTCGTCTTCCTCTGTGCAATTTCTGTGGTGAGCCAGGTACACTTGTGTACCTCTTTTGCTCAATTAAACCTTTTCCATGCATGTGAGTCATCTATTTCATGGTCCAGAACATACTCATTTCATTTCCTCTACCCTCTGGTTATTGAGTTAATTAATACTTTGTAAACACCTCGTCACACTAACTACTGTACAAAGAACAGGGCTTGTCCCAGAATGATTCTTCTGAATAGGACAGGAGAGAAGAAGCTCAGGAGAAAGGAAAAATTAGAGAACACAGACCTTTATATGGTGCTCAATTCTTATTAGTCCCAGTTAATTTCTGCTGAGTGATTAAATGCAGGCAACAAATTCTGGTTTCAAATTAGGAACTGATCACAATTCTCAGTGACCTGGGGTGAGACAAATGAGCCTCACTGATTATTTCGGTTTCTACCAAGCTCCAGACCCTTCCAACAAGCTCTACCGGATCTTTCTGACCAAGGGCTGCTTTGAGTTCTTCATTTCCTGTGGACTTTGGACCCTATGTTTGGGAGAGATCTCTGTGGTGCTGGCCCTGGCACACATCCAGCAGCATGTTGTGGCTAACAGGGGCTCTCCCTTGCCCAGAAGGGGCCAGGAATTCCATTGACAGCAACAGAGATGCTCAGCAATAGTGATGTGTCACTGGCATCCAAGGAGGGAGCAGCTGCAGAGGGACCCCAAAGAGGAGGTCTGGAGGATGAGGAGGGCAGAGGTCCCCCTCAGGCAGCACCTCAGCTGGAGCAGAGACACTCCAGTAGCCCAGGGAAGGGCCTGTGCCAGGACAGGGAGAAGGGGAAGGAGGGTGGAGTGGCCAGGAAGGGCCGGGAGGGACTCACCACAGCCCATCTCCACCCCTACACACCTTTGTGTCATGGAGAAAAGGGAGGAAAGGTTTGTTTTGTTTCTTTCTTTCTCACCATTCAAACCTATTTTAATTGACAATATGTGTAATTTTCACCATTATGTGTCTAGTTTGCCTGTGAGTCATGGGTCACTGATGTCCCTGTCTTAATCTCAACCCATGAGACTCTTCTCTTGCTCAGTAGGAGTGAGAGACCAACTGGAGGGTTGGGGCCCTTGCTACAGGGAGGACCCAGCTGTGCAATCTCAGGCTGCAGGGTGTTCCTGGGGCTCCTTTTCTGCAGGTCTGTGCTGATGAAGCACCTCTGTGACCAAGGGAAGGAGCTGCAGCAGGAGGTCAGCATGCTTTGGAGCTACACAGATGATGAAAAGGAGGCTGACTGGATGCTCTGGATACAAGAGGAGCCTGACCCTCCAGCTGAAGGAGGGACAGGCAGTCTCTGCTTATTGGATTGGAAAACAGAGAATGGTCCATTCCTGTGTGCAAGAAGCCAAGCAGAGGTGTCATGGATGATCAAGGGGTCCTCAGCAAAACTCAAATACAAAAAGCCTTCACCACGTAAGTGGTGAAAGGCTGCATTAAAAAATCCTCAATCTCCATAATTGGTGTTATGAAAAACAGGACTGGATTCAGGCCTGAGGGACCTGCTGTAGTTGCATGTGTCTTGAGCAAATGGGCAGATTACAGGATCTCCAGAGGTCTCTTCCACCACTGTGGATTTGCCATGATTATGCAAGTCTGCTGTTCCCTCTTCCCATCCCTTCTCCTCTAGCCCTTGGGCACCTTGCCTTTGGCCACAGGCACTGCCTCCTGCCACACTGCAGAGCCCTTTGGAAAAAAGCACAAGGCAACCACTCTCAAATTGAAATTTGGGCATCTTCTTTGACAATGACAATGGCAATGTTAGTGGTGGCAGCAGGATTTTATACAGTATCCTAGAGACCCGAACAGAATTTCAGGACAGATGAAGGCAGTAAACTGATTTCCTTTTCTGCCTAGGGATGATGGGAATGTAATCTTCCCATCACTCCCAGATTTTTGTGGGGTAGACCTTCATGAGTGTTGTACTGGAAATGATCCACAGTGCACTGAAGAGGGAACTGAAGAGAAAAACTCTCTGTGTAAGTCCAGTGCTCAGAGCAACCAGCCAGGAGTTCAGAGACCTCATCATAATCATGTCTCAGTACTTGCATTTTATATTATCCTATTTCTAGCTCAGGTGCATTCTGACATAAAAGGGCAATGCAAATGTCCTTTTCAAGACGTTTCTTTTTGGTATCTGATGTCATATACATTCTGGAAGCAGCCACTGTGAGGGAGATCCAGCAAGCAGAATCTCCCTCCCTATGGGCACAGGCTATGAGAGAATACATGGACTGCTTTGCTTTATGTACCTGGAGAAACTTCAGGGAAAAAAAAAACAAAACTAAAAAGGCCCAGAGCCTCAAGAAAACACTATGATGACTAAATAAACACACATGCACAAAAAACAGATCAGCTATGAAGTTTCAGAATTCAGTGGCCTCCAGTGCTAAGTGATAACTGAGCACGGATTTTCACTTATTGATCCAGCCATTCAAATCACATTTTTTGGTTCTTTTCAAATCTCGTATCAGACACCTGAAAATTCAGGCACTCTTGTAGTCACATAGAGCACAGCTGGGTGCCTCATACATCTTTGTTGTATTGCACTAAGCAGCATCTTGTTCAAAGTCACCTAAGTCCACACCAGAGCTACAAATTCAATGTTATGGTAGATTCACACCTGCAGCCTTGAAAGCTGCTGTCTCTGATATAAAAATTTGTCTCAATTTCTCACACCTATAAGACAGCTGTCACAGACAGCTGCCACCTGCAGAAGAGCTAAATCTCCACCGATACTTCCAGCCAAAGTCCCACCTTGTTACAGCTAGATTTCCTCAGGATGGTTTAATTCAAAGAATTCTGTCCAGAGCTGACTCAGACCTTTTGGTGAGATTCAAATAGCTCCTTGTGGTCAGGATCTTGAGGACAAGTACGATTTGTTGGTCATACCACTGTTTTTGCCATTGTGAATACGCATCCAGCAGAAGGCTTTAATGGATTAAGAATGGTTACCCTATGGGTGTAATATTTCCCCACACCAACAACCCTTGTCACCTTGATTAAGAAATGTCCCAAAGGCCGGTGTGGGTAGAAAAATGATCTCACACCAGCCATGGATCTGCCATGAGACAAAATACACAAACTGAACAGTTGTACAGATTTCCCCAAAACTCCCTGTGAGTTCTGTTCCCTCGTTTCTCCCTCTAGCAGACACTACATCTGTTCCTTAGCAGTTGCTGGCAGAAAAGACAAGCCCTGCTGCCAGCTAATACTATATGATCTGCTGCTGAATTAATTTTCCATTTAAAAATTAAATTATGGGCCAGATCCTCGTTGGATTTAATACAGCTGTCACCTTTCAGGCATCTGATGGTCTGGCCTTGTACGGAGATTAGTCTTCCTCTTTCTTTGAAGCAAGAACCCATCCAAATAGTTGGATTTTGATCTGATGTGTGAAGGCAGTGAAAATATTGATTGTTTTGTGTCTGATGCATCCATCATGAGAAATTACAACTTTTTTCAAAAAGCTGGAGAAAAACACACTATTCAAAAAAACAAAGAAAAGAAAGAAAGGTTGTAAAAGACACTATAAATCTTTTATTTCTTTTGAGTTACTATGAAATGCCCTTCATTTTGAAGGAAATGGTACAATCAATGATGTGTACTTCTTTCTCAGGAAAAGAAGATATTTGCACTAACAATTCAACATTTACTGACAAAAGACAGCTTACAGAAAATGCTCATGGTAGAAAAAAAATCATATTTGTGATTACACTTCTTATTGTGGATGATTTCATGAAGTGTTACAATGTTAAGAATTTCAAGTGTGCATTTAAAGAAAGCTTCTAATCCAGTATTAATGCAAAGGAATTTAAACCATCTAAACCACTGGTGTTCAAAATCACCCTGATTTCTTCCTATTCACAGTTAAAGAAAAAGCCTAATCTGAAAGTCTAAGCCCATGATACAATACTCCTCGCCTTATCACCACACACTGATTTTTAAGAGTAGTCAAGCATACTCAATTAATATTAGATTTCTTACAAGTAGAAACTGCTGTTGGAAACAATGTATTTCTTACCTCTACTTAGTTACTAGTCTCTGATCTCTTATACAAAATTAAAATTTTGCTTTCAAAAATATTTGTTCCTACATGGCTGTTAGCTTTATGGTTGGTGCTGTTAATTGTCAGAAAAGCAGACGTGGGAAACCACTCGACAACACACTTCACATACCCGAGGACAGACCTTTGGCACAACGTAACCAAAGGAGAAGAGAAAAAGAAAACCACCATTACATTCAAAATCTGAAACAGATTAATCACACAATATCACCTATTATAGTACTGAGTGGAATGGTGAAATCATATGAACAAAAGGAGTTTGCCTATGGTTTCATTTGTACAACACAATTTAAAGTTTACTTCCACAGCCTAGGGTCCTTCAGTCTGAAGAATGTATTTTTCCAAGTAAGAAAGTACAGTTTTTGAAGTAGCTTTTGGGAGTTTTCCCTGCCTACTCGGCAGCTGCCTACCACATTGGCCAGAGGAGTTCTAGAGTTGCTGTAATTAATACTTTGCATTCACACAGAATCAGGGATAACAAAATAGTCTTCAGTTTACGTCTTTGTTCACTGCCACGGAAGGTGAATGTCTAAATTGTGTTTTTAAAATTACTCAATCAACAGATAATTGTACGTTTTACTACAACGCCTTTTCCAAGGCATTATTTGCATCAAACACACCAATACTCCAGGGAAATAAGAGTGCTCATCTACATTTCCTAGCTGGAGCTACATTTACACATCTGGGGCTAAGCCTTGCCAGCTTTCACATGTGCATATTGATATTCATAGCAGTAGATATGCCCAAATGAGTTAATTCATACAGATTAATGTTTGCACAATCAAAGGGTTTTTAAAACAAATTATATTAACTTTAAATGTTAAAAAAGCAAGGGAAAGTTCAAGCATGACGAGACAAAGATACTGGAGGAATCTGCAGCAGATCACCAGCTTAGCTTACAACTGCTGTGTAACACACCTCTCACCAAATCCGTGCAGCTCCTGCATTTCCAGAGGGATACTGAGGCCAAAGTTTGGGCTGGGTTCTACCAGCTCTGTTTGGACAAGAGGCCCTTTGAGAAACACCTTTCACTGCACTACTTATTCTCCCCTGTTGATAATGCAACCTCAGAAGTTCCACGTTCCCACCAGAGATATCATATTGAAATTCCAGACCCTCATTCATAAAGAAATGTAAAGATACACTTAATTCCAAGCATAAGAATAGGCTTACTGATTCTCAAGTGGCCTCAAGTAGGCATGGTCTACTCAAAACTTTAAACTCAATATAGACTTAAGTCCTTTGCTGAAGCACAAGCTCTGCAGAAGGATCACACCTGCATTTCTCTATGTTAAAGCAGATGCAGAGAAGAGCACTTTATCTATTCCTCTTCTCTCTCCTTTGTGATCTATGTAAAAGTCCTGCAGTAGACATACAAAAGAGTCAGTTTTCCTGGGAGATCTTTTTTTTTAAAAAATCAAGCTCCAGAAATCCCAGCTTACTCTGCAGACAGTAACTGAGCAAAGTACAGCAAAGACAAGAAACCAAACAGTTGAGATGTGCTTCTACAGCAATTTCTGTTCTCACATCCAGGTCATTACAGGTCCATGGCTTCAAAACCAGACTGCTTAGAAATGTGTGCAGTGGTGTTTAGTAGCACCTATTAAATAACACTGCCTAATCAACAGGTAGGGGAAAAGGACCTGCTTGTTAAAGATTCAAGAGTTGCATCTTTACCTGCTGGAATAAGAAATCCCTGTAGGAGGGCTACCTCTTTCAGACAAAATTTTTAAAAATGCCAAGCTTTCCACCCTCTTCTATTTTTACACATAATAGAATGTCAGGGGACAATAAATTCCCAAACATAGCTTGCAGGGAAACTTTATGATTCCAAATATCAAATATCTGTATGGCAAGTGTCAGAGGAGCACAGAGGTTTTATAACACAGCAGCATGCACGCCAAACTCTGCTGTGAGGCAAGCTCCTCCTTCACTCTCTCTCCTAGCAAAGCACTGTAAGCTCTGGAATTCTTTGCTAAGGCCTTGTGCCTGTGGGGGAATTTATCCCAAAAGGCATGACCGGTACAGAGAAGCACCAAGACCAGCACAAGACAAGATTTCAGTTGGTCAAAGAAGCTTTGCTCTCCATTCCCAAGCAGATTTGATCCTTTTTTAATTAAAATTTTAAAAACACCACAAAATGCAAAATAAACAAAAAGAAAAAAAAGAATATAAAACAAAGCCAGACTATTCAGGATATCTCAGAAAGAAAGAAATGGCTAAGTGTCATAGTCCTGATGTTTCAGACACAAGGGAAAAATATTTTCACAACTAGTTTACTGTTTAGTACCTTGTAGATACATAATATTTGACATTTATAGCAGTTTCTATACTTTATGACCTAGAATATACTTTAGATCATGAGTGAAAAATAAACCCATTCAGAGAACTGGAAAATAACGTGCATAACAATTTACTTTCAAATGCAAGGTTATGAAGGGTTTTTTTTTTAACTTCCAAAAATATCTCTAGGAAAATATTATTTTACATAGCTATGTTACACAGTGAAATAAACTTTGTTATGTACAAGGTTTCAGTACGAAAGAAACCACAGCTAGACATTTGCTCATGGTCTAGATAATCTGTTGTCTCATATCATTCAGAAGTACAACAGAGAAACTCTCCTTCATTCTTTTTCAGACTGTCTCAATGAGCATTTCAGCTTTCAGTAGTTACTAGTAGTTGTATAAAACCTGGTGCAGACTTCCACATATTAACCCTATCACAATTAGATGTGGATAGATATGCTTTCAAAATAAGGTTAGACATCTGCTCAACAACCACAGTAACCTGAGTACACCTCAATTGCATATTGGTGAAAAAAGCCACACTTAGTGTAGGCACCTGAGCTATAGCACTCTAAGGGAGCTTGGTATTAAACTCTGCCCTGGATTTGTGTTTCACAGGCCAAATCCTAGCTTACATATTTTAGGCAGAAAGCAGGACACCACAATCCACTTGGCTTAAGTTGGCAAAGTTGCTTCATATAGTCTTAACTAATCAAAAAGCTTATATCTACCTGTTTTTAAAAAACAAACTTTGCTCCTGTCACACAGGTGGAAAGGACATGGAGTACTCTGTTGTATAACTGTAAACAGCTTTGGGGAAGACCATACCAATTATGCTTCAAGTTTACATCACACTGTTAGTTTCCATTACTTAAATGAATTCAAGCTTATCTTCAACTTCACATCCTCATATTGGTTTTAAAGGGGAAGAAATTTTGAATTAGAAACTGCCTCCAAATCAGTGCTTGTTCACACACCCAGACGCCAGGACAAAGTTCTGACAGGGCTGCCTGTGTGAGAGATCAGTTCAACAGCTGAATAAAAGTTCAGGGAATATTCAGGGCAGGTAGCGCTACACTCCCCCTTCATGAGGGACTTGCATAACTTTGGAGGCATGTCCTTTCCTCTAATGCTATAGCTCAGCTGCATACCATGGAAATTAGCAAAAAAAAGGAACATGAAATCCCTAATGAAGAGGAAACTGCTTTGGAACACCCAAGCCCCTCTGCCTGTAATGTCTTCCAGCCTGTGCTCCCTTCCATCACAGCTGCATTCACTGTGTTGCTGAACCTGTGGCACGCTCACAGCCAGAAGCATCCAACCAAGAGGTCACCCTCTTGAGGGACAGCTTACTCAAGACATACTCTTACACATAAGCAACCTGCCTTTACTGCCTCTGTGTGTATTACAGACATACTCAGGAGCTTTGCCACTTGCTTTAGGAGAAGTCAAGGCAGCCTGTAATGAGCCCTGACACAGCTCAGCATCTGCCTGCAGGAGTCCCAACACACACCAGTGTGCAGAGTGTAACTGGGGTGGCAGACTTCCTTCTCTGGGACCTGTTGGCAACAAACACATCTTCTGTCCCCAAAGCCACACACTGATGGCAAAGGAGGAGGTCCCCCAGCCCACCTGCAACCTCCTATCAATTAAGAAGGCACTAGGCACATCAAACCCATTTCATTAAAATCAGTGGAGGCTTCTGCCTTACACCTTCTGGGGAACTGGTTACCAAACCCACAAAGCCTTGAACCAGTCGAGAAGCAGCTCCTTGCAATACCAACAGAAGCTGCAGCTGAAGAGAAACAATAGCAGAGAAGGGAAAACAATATCCTCATGTTCAGAGCTACACGGTCATGTCATGGAAGTTGTTGCCTACTTCTTAATGGCATTGAATACTATTAACTTCTGCTGATAAGCAGATGTCAAAGGCATTTAGCAGCTTGTAGGGTCAGGCCTACTGGCAGATGGTTGAGGAAAAGGCTATGTGCGAACATGGCAGAGAGGAAGGGAAAGAAGTGAGAGAGGAGAGGGGTAGAATTGCCCTGAGTTTTATCCTCTACAAATAAGTCAGGGGTTTTATCATCAAGCACTGAAGGAGTTAAGCACTAAAGCACAGACACTTAAGCAGCTTTCTCCCTTCCTTTCACATGTGACTGGAATGAAGCTGCACCGAAGCAGCCCAAAGGGCTTATAACAGCTCAATTTCGCAGCCTTCAGTTTTAATCCCCATCACCCAGGCTAAGCAGAATGGTGGTGCTGAGGCTGCTACTCCACAGCAGTCTGAGCACCTGGATGATGATGGTCTTCCTCCTCCTCTTCTTCTGCAGCCTGCAGGTGGCTGGAGAGCTCCTGGATCACAGCAGCCTTACCAATCTGGTCATTTCTCCTCTTCTCCATGATCAAATCCTCTAGGCTCTGAAATTCCAGTGTGTGGCTGCGCTTGTCCCCCAGCCGGATCTGCAGACGGTAGGGCTGCTTGCCTATGCGCAGCTCCCCGCCGATTTTAAACTCTCGTTTGCCGTATCGGCACCAGGCAGCAAAACACTCCGAGTTTCTCCAGCTCAAGTCCCGATCCTTGCAACCCACCTGCTCCAGGGCATTGCGCACCACCACGGCCGGGCTGAGGGGCTTGTAGCGGTACAGCCGGTTGGCAATGCGGCCGCGTCTGCCCTGGCTGGCATCGGTGAGGAAGCTGTTCACCACCTCCAGCCGATGGAGGTGCACAACTTGAAAATCCCCCACATAGACCACCCAGTGCGGATACTGGGCTTGGCACACAAACTCCACCAAGTCACCTGGCTTACACCTATTCAGCAGGTTCTCCGGGGTGTAGGTGCTCAGATGCCCCCCACCTCCTTCATCACCCTCCTCTAGCTGCGTGTCCTCCTCTGAAAAGCTCTTCTGGTAAATACACTCATCCCGGTAATAGACTGAGCACTCCACCTCGTGCAGCTGGGGATCGTAGGGCTGCAGGGCAGGGTTCTCACCCCCCAGGTCATGCACGGAATCCTGCTGCTGCTCCAGCTCATCATCGTCATTCGAAAAGATGTAGGAGACCCCGATCCTGGGCCCTTCATCTCTGTCCATACCTGTCGGGTCGGCCGTGGGAACTTCCTTGTAGTTGAGATGGGTCAGCTTCTCCACCTGGTTCCCCATGCCCGCTGCAACGACAGACACCCGGCGGGGCCATGAGGGCGGGCGCGGCTGAGCGACTCCCAGAGAAGCAGCGCGGGCTCAGCGCGGCTCCCCCTCCCCAGGCGTCCCGGCTCTCCCCGCTCAGCGCAGTCTCTCGCAGCGCCCCGGGGCCGCGGGAACCCGTCGGGGACGGGGGGAAGGGGAACGCGAGACTTCCCTACCTGTACGGAGGAAGGCGCGGCGGCACCACCACCTGTTAGGCGGCGGCGAGCAGGAGAGAGGCGCAGGAGCCGAGCCACCTGTTAGAGAGGGGCTGCGAGCGCCTGGGGAGGTGGGGAGGTCCGAGCTGGGGACGGCGGGGAGCGCACCCCCCTCGCCGCCCAGGTGAGCCGCGCCGGGCCGCCGGCCAGGTGCTTCTCCCCGCCCTCCCCGGCACCGGGCGGCCGCGAACTTACCCCGGGGGCCGGCGGCTGCGCGGCGCCGGGAGCGGCTCAGGGCGAGCGGCGCGCCCGGATCACGGCCCGGATCATGGCCCCGGCGCGGCTGCTGCACCCCGCGCAGCGGCAGCGCCCGAGCGCCGCGCCGCCGGCTCCGCGGCTGGGCATGAGCGCCGGAGAGGCACGGCCGAGGGGAGGGAGGGAGGCTGGATCCGCCACAGACGCCCCGGCAAGCGCTCAGCCCCCAGCATTTAAAGAGGCAGCTCTTTTTTTTTTTTTTTTTTTTTTTTTTTTTTTTTTTTTTTCCTTCTTTTTTTCCTTCCTTCCTCCCACCTTCCCCCCCCCCCCCCCCCAGCTTCCTCCCCCTCTCCTCCCTCCGCCCCGCACCTTTTCCCTCTCTTCGCTCCTACATGCCAAGCGCTTTGCTCCCCGCCGAGGCTGGCAGGCAGGCGGAGGTCGGGCGCGGGGCTGTCGGCGCCGCGTAGCTCTGCGCGGGCAGCGGTGTGTGCAGCGCGCTCAGCCCGAACTCGCACGGGCGCGGCGCCTTTAAGGGAGCGGTGCCACCGCAGCCCAGCCCGCCGGGGCGTTCGGGGGGAGGCTCCGCAGCCGGAGTTTGCCCGGGACGGCTCCGAGAGGCGAAGCGGAGCCTGGGTGTGCGGCCGTGCGAAGGCGCGGTGCCCGCGCAGAGGCGCGGAGCTGCCCCGGGGAGCGCCCGCCCCGCGCAGCCCCCGCGGCAGCGCCGGGAGTGCCTCCCTGGGGCCGCGCACGGTGGCGGGGAAGTTGTTAAGTGAGCACAATCAAAGCGCCCGGTGCTCCTGGGCTGACTTAACGCCTTCGATTCCTCCATGCGCGGAGTGTGTAATTAGGTTTATTAATTTATTTTCTTTCCGACTCCAAGAGCTCTGTCTCTTTTTCAATATAGAAGATTATGATTCTTTCTCCCCTGGAAAGGCATTATGAGATCTGGTGGGAATATTTTGCTTTCTGTGTTTTGGAGAACACAAAACAATATTTTGCTTTTTCATTAATGCCTAGTTAGTGTGCTAGGTGGGTTTATTTTTCATACTATTATAACAGACGTTGGTAAATTCACACTGTTAAAATAGACTACAGAGATAATTTATGGGATGTAGGAGTAATGTCTTTAATTTTGTCTCATTTATTCCCTTTGTCTGTTGTCTTGTAATTTATAAGCCCAACTGCAACTGCTGTTCTGAGTATCCACTAAATAGCGGCAAATGAAGGAACAATTGTTGTGTTACCAGGGCCCTGGGCACTGCCCACAGGCTCAAAGAATACAATTTCCATCAGATTCTACATCTCTGTGGTTTCACAGACCTGCCCTTTGGGGTAAGAAGAATTGCTCCACCTGGGACTGGGGAGTCAAGCACCGCTTGGGATGGTAGGGTAAGGCGAGCAATTGCAGCAGCTACAGACAGCCAGATCAGGATCTTTTTGTTTTGGATTCTGCTGGTGGCTATGCCCATGGGAGCATTTTTGAAACGAACCTCCCAAACAAACACCTAGCCCTGACACACGTTCACTTTGGTTTGCATCCAGTGTGTTTTCAAACAGTGCACATTTATTTCACATCCCACCAAACTAGATGTACCCTGCATGGCAGGGTTGGATCAAAGCTAGTTGAGCAAATGTCCGAAATGTATTGAATGTAAATGTGATGTCTGGGCACTGCGTATTTCCCTCTGCAGTTCACTCCTCTATAGGCTGCTGTTGGACAAAAGAGGGCCCTGCTTCATAGTTAAAACGTTGTAAAATTCCTTCACTAATTAAAGATGGGCATGTGTGAAAGTTAGAGTATCCTAAAAGGAGAAGCTAAACTGAACATAAAAGTGATTTTTTTGATGTTCTCCCATTTTCATTGGCAGTGTCTCAGCACTGTATCTTACTATCTCTGGACCAGTTATACTTCATTAAATTATTTGGCAGCCCTGTGTTCAAGGCCAAGTTTCTTTCTGAATCTTCTGCAGTGTATGGAAAGATGTGTCTCAGCAATGAGTGCATGAGTGGAAACTCAGTATGGCCCAGGCAGTCACTTGTGTGTTCGTGCACATCCACAAAGATTTGCAGTTCTCCATCAAGTTTTCTCTTTTTCTTGTTTGCTTCATTTCACCTCAGTGCTTAATTTTCTGCACTTTGTCTGCTGCTTTGATATCTTTGAGTTTCCTTGCCATGGCTGCTTCATGGAATCCATACTGTCTGTTCAATCTGCTGCTTTCTAGGGTAAGAAGCCATTGGTAAGTAATTTTTGTATTGTTATCCACATCCAGTAATGGCTTACTGCACACATAGGTAAGGAATTGGGTGGAAAATCCATGAAGAATTTACAGTGCCTATATATCACTTTGACTAGTGCTTAAAATTACGATGATTAAAACTTCTTCATGCATAATCTCTGAGCCTAAAAGCAGCCGTGCTTGCACACATACTGAAGTCAACAGGGAAGTCCACACTGTTGGGTACGATACTTCCCTGGAGTCACTCCGAGGTTCCAGTAGTTTGCTTGTTCAGATTGCAGAGGTATTTCTTCTTTGTAAATTCTCTTTTGGAGAGAAAGCTCCACTCCAGGCAAAACACAGCTTTGCTTCTGCAGTGGGCTCATTCCAGCAGCTCCCTTATCTGAGTCCCCACAAAGACTGCAAGAAAGCAGGGTTGACTCTACATGAGACTTGTCTCGCTCAGCTCTACAAGAGCCCTCCAACATTTTCACAGCTGAATTTCACATCCATATGCTCTCAATCTATTGTTGAATTCAGCAATATATCTACATGTTCCTGACGTAAAAATACTGTTCTGGTGGGTCTTAATATGGCTTGTATGATGTTTGATATGCCTGAAACTTTGACAGTCCCTTTTAAGGCAAAAATACCTGCCATGCTGGAGGGCTCTCTGGGAAGCCAAAGCTGCTTGGCCATATTGATGCATACAGAGGGGACTGCACCTCTTGGCTTGGAGGCTGTGGGACATCTATGGAGCAAGTAACTTCTGTATCTATGTAGCTGCTATCATCCAGGGGCCTTTGTAGTGCTAGTTGTGGTTGCTTTAAACTTAAAGTTAATTTTGAGGATTAGATGTAACAGTTATTTTTTTGTCCCAACAGTATATAATTTTGTTATTCCAACTGCAACCTTACACATATTTTACATCCAGAGATTGAAAAGGTAATATTGATTTTAAATCACAATTCATCCTTACTTAATATGAAGTGCTATGGTCACACTGTTGTTGTTATTAAAAGATATCCAGGATGAGAAAAAAAGTCTTGATGTGTTTATTTTTTTTTCTTAGCAGTGCTTCTGAGTAAGACAAGGTTTAGTGTCATATTCTGTAAGCACATTCTGTTTCACAGGCATTCAGCCAGCTGATGGCTATGACACCCTTGAATTATTTAATAGCTTCCATTTCTTTTTTGCAGTAGAGTTTTATGAGAATTGAGATAAACTATGGTCCATTGGCGTGTAAGCACTCTACATCATAGACCTAGTGAACCAGTGCTTAAACATGGTGGAATTAGGGACACTGGAAAAATAAACCACTTCCTAGTGAAGTCCATGGAAGTTCTTCCATGGAGTTCTGTAGAAATTGGTCATGTCCTTAACTGAGGGAAGTGTATTACCTGAGAGTCACTTGATGGATGGTGTCCTTCCATGACAGCCATAGCTAAGTTCTCCAAGGATATTTGGGTTCAGAATAGTAACATTTCTTTTGTGACCTCTTTGTCCTCCAGTGGAAGCTGCATCCCTGAGTCAGGCACCAAGTCCTGTAGAGCCAGGAATGCCACCTAAAATAAGATTTATCAAACCTGGCATGCCAGCGCCAGATGGTAGGGAATGGGACAGAGAGTTAGGGTCCTGACAGCTGCTGGAGTATGGTGCTTCCTTTCACTTGTGTCACCCACACTCTCCCAAGGTTAAGTGCTTTAATGAGGTTGGATTTTCTCACACTCAAGAGGAAATAGTGCCACGTCAGTTAATAAAAAGCATTAATATTTAAGATTGCTTCCTTGAGGTATGAAAGACCAAGGTTGAAGTCTCTTATCTCACTAAAGGAATTTGAACTGATATCTCCCAGGAGGGTACTGGAAGCCACCAGACTATAAGCTCTTTTTGAGCAAGTCTTGCTTTCTCTGTCCCACTGAAGCTGTTCAGTTTTGTATGGGCTCATTAAATACCCATTCAATCTGTCTGAAAGAAAAGAAAAGAATGACAACATCTCTTAGATCAGATGCAAGAAGGGGATGAGAGTGCTTTGAGGTCCTCTTCAATGAATATTCAGATGTCTCACAATCATGCCGTAGCTTAATCAAAAGCCATTCAGACAGACCCACCAGAAAGATCTGAAAGTTTTGGGTTTAGGATGTGGTCATCAGAGAGTTTTTTTCATGTCTGCACTGAAGAGATTGGACCTCTGGGTCTCACATATCCTGCATGACTGATGTAACCCAGATGCTATTAGATATCAGCTCCTCTTGGTTTGTGTCAGAGCCCTGCCATACTGCTGTCTCTGCTGGGCCAGGCCTCATGAATGCAGAAGAAAGAGTTTGTGACAGAGTTTGGGCTTCTGTGGGAAATGTGCTGGCACTACCCAGTGGTTCTGCTTCTGTCTCCAAGGGAAATATCAGGCATTTTGAGAACAAGAAAATTTATGTACCTCAAAATGTTGAGAAATATTGTAGAATGTTGGTGTCTCTGCACCTTGAGTATCATGTTTGACATGAGACACATAATCAACCTCTGGTGTAAGGAAGGTTTTATCTGCATTTAGCCGATAAATCTTTGATTACATTGTAGAGAGTTTGACATCTGTGTGCCTCTACACATATGATCTTTGCTGTTCCTTATAGTGTAGCATGGATTACCATATATTCAAGAAATGAAAGACAAATGCATATGTGGGGAGAACCACATCAGAGGGAAAATAATGTTTTTTTCTAAAACTCTTACTGGAAGCTTATGCCTCTGTTATCTACTTCCAACATTGTAATTTGTGATTAAATGTGTTCTGTGGCAAAATAAATTGCTGAAATTGCCAAAGCTACAGAGTTTTTAACTGAGGCATCCAAGCTGTATCTCAGAAGCTCTTCCACTGTGAGTTTTTAATTGGTGCATTTCAGCAAATGAAAATGAAGTCATTCATATGTCAGTAGGGGCCTGGATTAATAGGAATTGCTATCAAACCAACTTGAGCAGCAGGAAAAGCTTAATTAAAATGTAGTCCATTTTTGGGGTTTTTTAAACCAGAAAATAGTGACTATATTTCAAACATAAACTTAACAAGGAAGGAGGTACAGCACACACATCCTTCCAGCGTGAGAACTTGAAACTCTCGTCTGTCTCATGCTGAGCTTCTGCCCTGGAAGCTCCTCCTGTGATGTGTCTTTTAGCATGTCACAGGACTGCTGGGTGCCTTGGTAGCACAGTGTGTCCCTGCAGCTGGGAAGGGGTGGGACTTCTGATGGGAGAAACTTCTGGTGATTGCTCCTGGTGTGCAGTACCTAAGCAGAAGCCATTAGTAAAGGGAGGAAGTCTTTTCTTTGGCTGTTGCCACACTGCTGATAAAACATGAAATTATTATTGTGAGGTAAACACATCACTCTTTCCAGCAAATCTGTGATGTGACTGCAGGTAATTCAGAGAAACTGTGATTGTCCTACCCCTGGAAGTTTCAGGCCAGACCAGATGGGACTTCAAGCAGCCTGATCTAG